AGCATACATATCTTCTTGCTGATATAATACGTAAATGCCGAACACAATGCCTAACTTTACTGTAAGATATGTGACCACATTCAAATCATTTTATCCATTGTCTATCTCAATGTCATCATCTGCTGGTTTTGATACTTCATATACTTCGTCTACTCGTTATCTGATTCTGTATCACAGTCCACTCAATCTTCCGAGTTTGTTGAACTTAGGAGAACTCTGTCTTCATGATGGAAAGAAATTTGCAGTGTCTTTCTGAGTGGATGTAATCAATTATTATCTTTATCGAAGTATTATTCATCGTCCAAGATTCAAACCTCAACTTCAGAACAATTTAATCTGCTGTTGAATTATCGAAGCTTCAAGATTTGATAAAACATTAGTTGTATCCTGAAGTTTGGATGAGGGCAGAAGCGCTGGAGTGAAATGACCTTGGTAGAGTTAGAAGATGTGTAAAGTATGACTATTGGAATTATTAGCTTGTACAACTTTACCTACCTCAAAGCATATGCAGTGAGGCATTGTTGCAATAATCTAGAGTATCCATCACATTGAACTAATAAATTGTGTAGCTAGAAGGAACTAATTGTATTGTAAGTAGGACCTATTGTCTACTCTTAAACTGAAGATTTTAGATATTGACCGAACTCTTGTAAATGCAATTGTATATGGGATTGCATTAAAGACTAAAGATGGGGTTTAAGGTTTTGTTTATAAATGTGCAATTTGGGGCTAACACGTCTCATTTCTTGTCTTGTAGTAGCCTTTGTTGCTCTTCTGTTAGATAGTACATATCATGTTGCATTTATAGAGCTTAAGTGAGAGAAAGAACTCTGCTTAATTTTCTTACAGCTAAGTTTCTCCAACACTTGGGGAGATTTACTTTCACACCTTTACATTTCTTACATGAATGTTACTTTCTGCATGACACTGATTCTTCTTAGCCCACATTCACTCTGCTGTATCAACAGGATTTGGAGTTGAACTAGTGAACACAAATCCATCCACCGAACGATCCACGCACGGACATTCTGTGATACTGCGGAAATACCGCCCAAGAAAAATATGGAGAGGGAAGTAAACGTATCACCAAAAGACAGGCCGATAATATTGGGAGCACGAGGTTGAGCAGATGAAGAGTCCAAGACATTGATCCAATGGTACCATTATTGATAGAACATTGTGAGTAAGCTCGATCTTTTGCAGGACATCGTGCATGTGTAGAAGACATGTATGTCGCTGCATAAGTCAGCCATACTGTACGTCATGTCATCAATCAGTATTGGGCTGTGTAATGTGTATCTATGCATAAAGACTTAGTGCCAATAAAATATCAATAAAATCTAGATAAAGTACAAGAGTAAGAAATGTGCTAGACGAAGAAGAAGTGAGAGACAAGAATACATGACATGAATACAGCTAAGTTTAGTTTTTGTTTTTGCAAGGTCTATAGGACTTGATGCATTGTGATGACAAAGTATCACCTACCTATGATACAATTAGAGATAAAGTCTTGATATTTACACCATAGTTAAGATACCTCGTATAGAATTTAAAGTGATGTTACATCTTGTAGTTTCGGAAGTGTGATTATCCATCCAGTTGGGAATGAATTTTAGGCAATGTAAGGAAACAAAATTTGAACAATATGTTTGCTGCTCTAAGTCCAGATGATGCTGCTCTCTAGATAGGTTTCCGTTTGTTTTTTTACATTGCCAAAAATGAAAAGAAGAAAATCCCCAAGACTTGAAGTAAAATGAAAATGAAATTCTATTAAATGATTACGTGCACACTTTATCAGCATAGATAGTCAACGCTTTTTGGTTCAGAAAGTGTGGACGCATTGTCATAACACTATTATTGAATGCTCCTTCACAGGGTCAATGTTGAAATGGAATACTGTAAAAGGCGGTGCTCGAGTGGGGGAAAAGAAAAGCAAGACTAGCATGCAAGCTCAAGCAGCAAATCAAACATGCACGACCGACAGGGTTTATGCATCAAAAACTGGGTAAAACTTGAGCGAGCTTTACCAGTGTATAAATGTTCCCTTCCCCTCTTAATACGGAGCCAGCGAAACTTCATAAATGTCCTTAGAAGAAAATATTGAAGGATTGCATAGAAAAACTTACTAAAATTATCAGTCAAAGGAATCACGGGGGTTCACGCCTTGAAGCATCGAGTTTCCAATGCTGTAGAGATTAACACTCAGAATGGTAGATTTGCAAGGTATACAGCGCTTGTCAAGTGTGCTGTATACTTTGCTGGCGGCTTCAATAATTATAGCAGTGCCAATCTGGCCCTGTATGGCGTATCACATAACGTTCTCTTTTTAGATAATTTTCTCCCTCCAGAGCATCCTTGGTTCTTTGTTCCAGATATCTTTGATTCGGTGTATATTACATGAGTTGACCCTATAAATGGCTTCCTGACATTTCTCCTCTGATCTGATTTAATTCCTCTTATCAAATGCAAACTTGTCCAAGGTACCTGTGAGGCTAAAATAATTGGAGAATTTAGGCAAAGCAGCAAAATCGTTACATAGTATTGGGAATGAATTTGACTGAAACACGTGAAGATAAAAGTGCCAGAATATTCATGATTTGGATACTTTAATCCAATGACGTATGATTGAACCCTTCAACAGTCTTCTCACAAGACTGTCGGTTGAAGGGTTATACGATACCACTAATAGAGAAGGCAATCCATTCGTAGTATTTGATTCATGTACTTTCGTTAAATCCAATACCTGAGATTTACAAAATACTTGGCTGTACAGTAATATGTGTCACCAGTGGTCTAGTATGAATACTGATTTGCTCAACACGGAGTTTAAGTATAGCAGTGGTTCTCACTATGAATGATGTTGAAATCTTCAAATGAAAAACTTCAAACTTTTTACACTATCTGTGTTTTCAACCGGAATACACCAAACATCAATTCAGATAAAACAGGCCTTGAAGATACTTCCCTACTGGCTTAAACCTGAATCACCATGACATTGAGACCAATAAGAGTCATACAACCCGATCCAATTACAACTACGAACCTAGTAGAAAGCCGAATGCATTCGAAGGTTCTTGATATTCCTCGTTGTACTTCTTTCTTTGAAAAGTTGTTTTCCTTGTGTATGGTCTCTGTCTGCACGTAGAGCATGTCAATCGTGTCAAACTGGCCAATGTCTCGCCGCTTCTCTACAACTTTGCATGGGGTTAAGGGCTTTGCATGCAACTTCACTCATCAACTTGCGTTCGGTTGTTCTTGTACTGGACAAAGTGGTCCAGATTGTACAAATGTTGGACTTATTGTACCCTTAAACATGATCCTGTGTGAATTCGTTAACAGAAATCACGAGTATCAATCCAAATTACAAAGCATCTACGTTCATGGTCTCTGGAATCAGGAATCTCTGCATGCAACTACTTACTTTCAGTTTCAAAAGAATTAATATACGGCTGCTACTTATCGAATCCCGCCCTGCCTATAGCTCGGAGCCGGAGGTCGACTTCCGTAGACATTGTACAGTTTGAAAGATTTATGAATGATAACTTTCAGGTTAGAGTTGTTGTTGAGGGCAAATGTTTCTCTGCCGAAGAAGGCTTGATAGTTCAGGCAGTAACCACATGAACCATGTAAAGAATGTGCAGGGCCAAGTGACGACGATGGTCAATCCATCTCTGGAAGTGATCCATCAGGAACGAAGGCTTTAAGAACAGAACTTTGCGGTTATTAATGTCCAGCCCTGATTATGTTATCACGTCCTGCGTATAGCACAAGGAAAAGATCCTTCACGTAAACAGGTCACTCAGTCATGAAATTATCTGAATTTCAAGATCTCGCGAATACCAGTCATCGGGGGAAAGGAGGTTCTAATAAATCCAGCGACGAAATGAAACTCCACTGGCGATCATGAGCATGATCGATTGATGAGTCACCGGAGTGAGCTCGTTTCGAGCAGGGCTCGATGTAAGTTCGATGTCGAGGCGGACACATTCTGTCACGAATAATTGTCGTGGTGACATCGCCGGCGATGGCAATAATGGAGCGCGGAAGAATTCCAAGGCTGCAATAATCATGCGCGAGTGGATGACCCGAGAGAGCAAATAAAGCTGTCGGCCGACGATCCGAACGGAGAAGGATTTCCGGCGTGATGTTCTCCGAGGCGCTGGAACGCCTGGCTCACGAAATTCCTGCGCGGGGATAAAATTCGATCGACGAGCTGAGATCCACGCTCGCGAAGAGAATGTCCATGTCGCCAGATGCACGGGCCCCAGAGAATCGAGGCCACGATCGCCATCGCAGGCCTCCCACGCCCACGCCCGCACGACCTTCATGATGTGCGGGCGCTGCCCATCTCCCGTCACCTCGCCCAGGCCCCCCACCATCGCCAACGGCGATTGATCGACCACGCCAGCTCAGACCAGAGCGCGACCTGCAAACGCAGTAACCCCAGGTCTCTCACCGGGCCTCGTCCCATCCGATCGAGCCAGCGCCGGCTCCGAGGCGCAGACTCGGAGCCAAGGCTCGTGACGAATTTCTTGATCCGCCCTGCGCGGCCCCGCTGCCGGACGGAGGCGGATTCGCAACTGTCTCGTCATCCACCGAGTCGCATTATGACTCCGTACGCCCGCACATTCGCCCGTCCGGCCCGAAAATAGTATGAAATGATTAGTCGCCCCGTAACAGTCGAACCGCGCAGCTTTCTTGCCGAGAAGCCCCAACCCCAACCCCGAGCCAGAGTCCAGATTCCACTCCGTTGCTTCCGTCGGAGGTCAAAGGGGCGTCAACCGGGGTTACGGGCGATCGGACACGAGTGGCAGCGGCGCTCGAGTGACGGATCGCGCGAGGGGCAGCGTGAGACGATTGCCTCCTGAACAGCTGCCAAGGCGCATGGCGCCGGGGGCGGGTTTGACAGACAGTTGGAGCCAGTGGAGAGGAGGGAGCGAGCGAGGGGGGAAGGGCGAGCGGGCGAGTTATAGAGAGAGGGGAGGTCTCAGAAGGCGGTTGGGTGGGTTGAGGGCTTAGCTTCTCCCGAGTTGCTTTCCTGCATGCCTACCAGGAAGCTGGGAGGTTGCAAGGGGGCGATGAGCAGATGATGCACTTTTATTTTCTAGGCGTGGTGACGACGATCGGACAACGACGATTCCTATAACTGTGGATCTGTAGGTCCGTCGTGAACTCGACCTCTCTGGAGGAGGAAGAAGACTGCGAAAGAGTCCACACCACTTCCGCTTGTCTGCTTGCAGGATGGGCTCAGCTGGCTTGGCACCACCGAGCGATCGGCTCGTTGACTAGTTAGTAGTAGTGGCAGACGGACGGAAGGAAGGAAGGAAGGAAGGAAGCACGGAGCAACTGGCCCCATCAGTGCAATTCCTGTCGCTTTCATCAGATTTTACGTGAAATGATAAAAAGCTCACAAGTTTTACGATCTCCCCCCATCAGACGATGACATCGAGCGCATAGTCGCTCTTAAACGAGGCCTGGGCTTCTGTACCCACACCGTTGGGTTGATTCACTTTTGCACACCGGACCTGCTGCTACGGAAATATACACACCAAGCTCGCAAGCGATCGGGCCAGACGAAGAGCTAGAAGAGTAAGAAGAAAGATAGGCCTCTCTCTCTCAAGTCCTGTACAAACGTTCGAAGGTGACATTCAGTTAGTGCCGGAAGGCAATCAATCATGACCCGGGATCCATCGAGTGCAGAGCTCAGAACACATGGGATCTCCATCGCTGCTATGAGGACTACGTCTCGTAACTCCTCGGAAGACTCGTCATGAATGCCCGTGCTGTGATTCCAGCGAATTCAGTCCTGGGCAATCAATGACACTCGCTTGGTAACCCCAAGAATTCACCGCTCGGCCGCTCTCGACTCGCTCTCTAGTTCGCGTCTGCGAGGTCGAGTGATCTTTGCGGCCACGTCCTGATCAGGTAATATATCGTTCAGTCCAGGCCTGTGATCCCCGAAACTCTCGTCAGTCCTACCGAGCTGTGAGCTCAGGGAAGATTTGGATGTTGGGAACTCATGATGGAGTTTATTTCTACCACAGCCCGATCGGTTCGTGATGTGACATGCCGTTCCACAACGAGCTGGGGAAGATCCCTAGCACAATGATGCGTCGTCAGGCTGATCATGATTGTAAGGAGTGGTAGCTCGTCAGCTTGAGGATACGAAACCCATGCATAATAATACGTGAGCATTCGGGTCCGAAGCTCGGAATGTAGAATCACGAAAGCTGGTCACAAAGTTCGGAAAGTTCCTCCGAGGACTCGAGTGTCAGGATTTAGCGACATGGATTTTCGTGGAGTGCACCACTGACGTGATTGTACTGGCTGATCTTCCAGAGCAAGCAGGCAGGTCGAGTCTTCGAGAGGACGGTGTTCTCCGAGACGGGCGCGGCGGCCGAGTGAGTGAGCTTCCGATCTGACGGCAGCAGCAGCAGCGGCCGCTTGTGATTAGTGCGATTCGTCGACGCTGCCATGAAGACGGTCGAGAAAGGGCCTGCCGGCACCTACAGCCGCCCGGCGTACGCCAGAAGGGGCTTCGTCACCTTCGGAGCCATAGCTCTGCTGCTGATATTCTTCGTGGGAGAGGTGAGCCTCCAGAAGCTGATGGTTCTCCACACCTGGTCGCTCCAGACGCTGCAATCCTCATACTGCAGCTGCCAATTCGACACGGACGAGGTCAGCAGCAGCAGCAGCTTCAACCAGCAGAATCGCACGTACCTCAGCCCTCCGCGAATCATCCTCACCAAGCCCACGGTGCACGAGGCGTTCGAGAACAAAGTCACGTTCATCCGCAACATCAGCTCTCAGACGCCAGCCGGCAAACGATTCAGAACCTCCATCGACGAGAATAAGAATGTGCACCAGTTCGGGCTGACGACGGTCCGCAATGTGTGCATGAGGCCCGACGGCGCCATCGTGATGGTGGGCGTGACGGAGGCCGAGATTCGACGAAACATTTCTCAAGTTCCCGCTCTGGACCAGGAATGGAGGTCCAGCTACAACTGCTCGACGAGCGATGGCTGCGTGGGGTTCGAGACGGCAGATCATCTCCCGCCCAATGTGACGATGGTGCCCGGCACCACCGTCCACATTCTGCCATACCTCGGCAATGTGTTCCACCATTTCGCTGACCGAATTTGGCCGCACATCGCTGGATTTCAGTACCCTCTGAACGAGACCAGCGCGCATCCCGTGAATCATTTCATCGTGCACCGCTTCTCGACCTGGATGGATCAAGCTCGCCATAACATGGACCGCAACACTCTGATGTACCAGATCCGGATCCTCGGCCGCCAAGCTCCAAAGGCCGATTTCCTTCTCGTGGACGGGCTCAAGCCCACGGATCTGGTGTGCTACGAGAGCTTGGTCCTCGCGTGCGCGACGTGTGACAGAATCAGCAACAAGCTCGGCTTCAACATCACCAGTCCTGCTCTTCTGGCCTACAGGCACGCAGCTCTCAATTACTTCCGGGTCCGCGAGCCGGCGGTGCCTCTTCCTCCTCACCCTCTGCGGGTGACTTTCTATGGCCGACGCGATACCAAACGGAGACGGATCGTGAACTCTCAGGAAGTTGTCGATCATCTGCGGAAGTGGACGAATCCTCCACTGGACGTCGTGTTCGTGGACGACTTGATGGCCAGCGGGAAATACAATCAGTCTCTGCCCGAGGTGGTGTCTCTCTTTTCTCAGACGGACATTTTTATCACGCCGCATGGAGCTAATACCTGGACCTCTTTGTTCATGCCCAAGCACGCAGCGGTGATCGAGATCTATGGGCCTTGTGGTCCCAGTACGTGGCTGGGGACCATCGTTCAGGCTGTCGGTCTGAAGCATTCGACCAAGACCAATCCGTATGACAAAATCATCGCTTCTCCTCTGGCCGGGAACACCACGGAATGCGAGGGCGCGTTGAGAACTCCCGACTTTACCATCGACATTGCCAAGCTCGACAATGCCATTCACAAGCTGGCGCTTCCCATGTTTGGAAGCCGTGACAGAATACCTCGTCACTGGCTCTACGATTGGACTTCCCATGGAGAGTACCAAGAACACGAACAACAACAAGCCCGTGTACCTCATGTTCACCTGCAATAACGCTCATCTCGTTATCGACGACTCGTTTTGTTGTAAAATGTCATTTAGCTTCAGCTCTTAGTAGCTTGAGAGAGATAGATAGACAAGTACACGTCAAACTAGAGCAGTGAATATAGATGGCCTTCTCCGGAAGTGATTCAGATCGATCCTTGTTCCAGCGAAGTGGCCTCGGATTGTTTAGTTAGTTTCACATGATCTCATATCTCTTCAAGTTGCAGGTGTGCCTTGTGAGCTTGAGTTGCGAGGCTGATATCTTGTTCCACGAGCTCGTGTGGAGTTGAAGTAATTCTCTTCCACGCAGATGAGCGTTCACCTTACTGTTACCCGGTAGGACTGCCTCCTATGTAAGGCTGACCATCGAAGAAATGATGGTTCCTCCCAGGTCTCCAAACGCCAATGTGTCTCGAGAGCTGCTTGAGCTCCGGATGCACGAGTTTTCAGGGAGATTCCTATGCTGACGGAGCAGCCTTTTAATGAGTTTTCCTCGCTCAGAATGATCCATCCTCTGGCCTTAGATTATAGTGTAGTTCTTTCCAGTTGATTTCTCTTGAGTTCATGAACCTATTGGATTCACATGTCTATAAAACTCTAAACCCTGCCTCCTCCACAATCTCCTCCGCGAATTATCATCGTGACATGACCACTTGCAGTGGAAAAGGCATGGCCATGGGAATGTATAACTTGCTGATCGATGCAAAGGCCAAGCAACCGGCTGAATGATCGATCAAGCAAGTTATCTCTAATGACTCCATCTTCGACTGATGGATCATTTCGATCAAATTTCGTGACTTCTGGGACACAGAATGCATGTGGTTCGTTAGTGCTGAAGTAAATTTCAAGCTCACTCTGTAGTCAGAGGGTAAACGAGTTCCTGCAAGCTCAGGTATCCTGTAGAAGATAGTTTTGGATCAAGTGAACCAGTCTGCGAGGTTGAGTGAATGATCCACAACACACAATTGAAGTGGACTGAAATGGTACTGGCTCTGTATGTCTGATACATCTTGTATCAAAGTACAATGCACTTTCGAGAGTAGTCGGTAATCCTTACCTCATCCATAGCGTAGCGTAAGCTAATTACAAATAATCCTAGTTACCAAAGAATTTGCAGAGAGGCTGAGATCATGAAGAAGGCGAGTATGTCTGGGTTTGCAGTATGGAACATTCTTCATAATCACGAGGTCCTCGTCATTAGAGGGACTAAATTCAATAATAAGGATGGGAACATATTCTTTCGGTGTAGCCACATTAACCATTGCAACTATCTGTCGGTCAATGTTCAGCTCGTTATTCCTGAATATCGACGTTATACTTAGATAGACTGCTCTCATAGCTTCTCCCTACAAGTGTGACGACTATCAAGACAAGGAGTCAATTCCCCAGGGTCGGACATTTAACATTTGGAGAATGAACCTGATCTTGGCGATAAAAACTTCATAATCATAATTTCTTTCCAATAAAAAGTCCACTTGGTTGCTTTTAGGCAATGAGACCTGCGTATGCTGTACGAGACCCTTTTTGCTTTTGAAAGGTGTACATCTCCAAGGAACATGGTTCATTTCAATTCAAAATGTCTCAATAGATGAAGTTTCTCACCTCTCCGATGATTGCCACCGCCGCTTGCCGATCTATTGCATAGATGATTTTCGTTGGTGACGTCGATGGCTCCACCATATTACCCACTGGAAGTTTTCTCTCATCGCACCTAGATCTTCAGGTAAATACTATTTATTAAGCGAAACTTCTGCATAGTATGGACGTTATTTCCAATAAAGTGCACGTCGTTTTGATGAAGTGATCAAGAAACTCTGTTCGTCAGATACGACATAAGAGCTGACAAAACATCCTTCCATGCATCCTGAATTGCTTGGAATGCGAGTTTCAAGAATAATAGTCGCTACTTGTGTATGTGATTCTGCAATTATACAGCTTCGATCTATGTGTAACATGACCATTTGCTTCACATCCGACGTGCAAAGACGTGAGAAAATGGACTTGGAACTTAGTCCACTTTTAGCCTCAGGCTGGATATGATCTTCTCACCCTTGAATTTGATAGTCTGCTTTGCAAGTGGCAACTGCAGTCCAGCTAGAACAATCAATCACTGTCCGAGCTCAATGGCTCACATCCTCGTCCTTTACTTCCACAACTCGGTCACCTCGTGTGTGTAAGATGCTCAGAGTTGGTTTCAGTTCAAAGATATGTATGTTGGATGGTTGGCACACGCATTGCCGTTTAGTATCATGCACAACCAAAATATTATTCAAAGGGAAGGTCAGTGCTCAACTTTTCTCTTCAGGATATACACTTCAGAATCTACTGAAATCATCATTTACCAGGGAAATTCAGACCATCCTTTCGATTGATGTGCAAAAAGTCAAAAAAATTCATTATGATACTAAAATTGATTGTTTGAGTTGGTATTATAAATGCATAATCAAACCAACATGTACAAACATACAATTTTGAGGTAGTAATAATTAACCCACAATACAATATATGAGACTATTTGCTAATATTGCAAGTGAAGCATGCCAATGCATCCATCTCTCTTAAATGTAATTGATGAATGAAATTAAATGAATATTAATTTTATAAAAAATATGTAAGTCAATTTTCAAAATATATTTTATCCAAAAATAAAAATATAAAGGTTAATGATGTTATTAAAAAAATCATCAACTCATATTTGAAGTAGTGTAAAATTGGTTGTGCAGAAAGTAATATAGAATGATAAACAATACTAGATCTACATCAATATTAGTCCTAAACCTTCATCCTTGTGGATTGTAGTCCAGATGGAATGCTATAGATAACGTGTACTTGTTTAGCTTAGTCCTTGAAAATCAAGATCCAATGCTCGCTCGAAGTAAATGTCACACACACAACTTTACTCAAGTGACCTAGTTTATAAGCATTTAAAAATGCTATTTTTGCCAAAGAACAAATTACACACTCTGCACACACAAATATCTATCACTAGGAGGCCTACTGACATTCAATGAGGTCAAATTGATGGTAATCTCTCCTCGTAACTTCCTAATGGCATACTCTCTAACATCTTTCGGACCATTTATGCCCCCCTAAGCCTCTACCCCTTATGTGTCGTTAGATAAGCAAACAAATTCTCCTTGAAGCGACCAAACCGTCAACCTTGTGGGTTTCAGCAACCTGATTCTCTTTGAGATGACAGTACCTCCAACGTTGTGGGTTAGGATTTATTAAAAATTAGGGTTAGTGTTTTAAGATGATCTCTTATCTTTTTCTTTCTCAAGGTCATTAAGGTATAAAGCTTGGATGCCATCGATCTGTTTAGGCGCCGTAGACAACACAACGCAATTTCAATCGCTTGGGTCGAAGACTCTTGCCATATACTTGTGGAGAGACTTGATGCCCAGAAGCTATGTGACAAAAATCATCACATGCTCTTGCATGTTTTTACAAACTTTGTCAATTTTTTATGTTCCACTATACACATTGTAACTATCTTTAGTTAGTTAAAAATAAAGTAAAGGTTACTCAAGATTGAGGATAATAGTATGATATCTACAATGTCACGTGAACAATCTATGTGCTAGTTAATGTGATAGTTAGTGTGTTAGTTAGAAACAACACTTTATCAATATGTGTGATTATTAGATAAGGACTGAGAGTGTTAGTTAGTGTGTTAGTTGGAATCGACACATCATCAATTTTTTTCTGATTAGATATATACTCCATGTTATCAATAAACTAGGAGTGGATTGGATGGTGGAGAGAATATCTTATACTTCTGTATGTATTTGAAGTATTTATATAAGGGAGAGAAAACTCATTCAAGTATTCTCATCTTTAGAGTATATGTTTCAACTTTGAGTAAACTTTCCTCTAAACCCCAATGTAACAATCATGACAACTTCCTCAACAAATCAACATTCCATTTTAATTGACTCCTTGACCATTGAAGTAGGTTGCAAAAGCTTGACTGTGACATTTTGATCTAAATTCTTGTACTCGTTATCTTTTTCATGTGGGTCTTCTTAGATTGAACATTCTATCTTGACATCATAGAATTAAAAGATCACAAAAATCTACGATGTCTAAATTTAGAGACTTACATCATTGGTCATACCGTGATGTTCTTATCTCTAAGTTAATCATGCTTCATCTTTTTCCTCATGGACAACACCAAACAAGATGTCAATCTCTTTTGCTCCTTATACTCCACACTAACAATGTCAAACACAACTCTCCCTTGCTTTCTTGTTAGAATATCTCACTTCTTGCGTGAACTCTTTGTCGTGTTTCTTGTTCTTCAACTGACGTTTAAGCAAGGCAAAATAGACGTTCAGAATTCTTTCATGAAAAACTTTTTCCAATACTTCTAGGTACTCCCTCATCTTCTTGAGATATTGCACAAAGTAAAGTTTACTCAAAGTTGTGAAGTATTTCATTTCCACACTATGCATTTCTTTCTATTAGATCATATTTATGATCCTTTTTCTCAACAATTTCTTCAACCGTCTTTATTTTTTGAACAAGATCTGTTGTTACGACAAATCTGTCTCCATGTATTCACATTAATGACTTTGACATCGTCCACAATGGTTGCGGCTGTAGCTTTTGCAGCTTTTTCAATGGCAACGTCATCTCCAAGTGTAGTTGCAAATGCCTTTATTGCCGTCAACTTGACAAGTTCAATTATCGCATGTCCAATCAATTTGATCTCCTCTATTGACACAAATGCAACCTTTGCTTATACCTCCACCGCCCTTGCAGTCGTTCTTATTTTACTTTTCACATCGAGCTTGCAAATCATGATTCATGGTGTTGTCTCATCATACTCTTTTTTGTTTTCCTACAATGGCGTAATCTCCTTTGAATCTTCTTGTTTGCCTAATTCTGCTCATATTTCACACTCCAAAGTAATTTCAAGATAACTATTATTTCTATTCATCAACAAACTTTGATTGAGGAGTTTTACACCTCAAACATCACCTTTTGGTGTTGTTTCAAAACGTCCATCACCACACATTTCCTTCCCTCTCCGTCTCCTTAATCACAAATGTCACTTCTTTGATTTGAAATTTCTACCCTATCATGACCAGTGATTTGGACGAGTGTATTTAAAGCACTCTGAGCTCATTATTTTTCTTTCAAGTCCCTTTTGTCTTTGCATCGTCTTTTATCTTCATCTAGCTCAATGTACTTGTCATGAGTTTGTCCAGCTTGATCAAAGCTTCAACACAAGTTCTATCATCTTTTTCCTCCGCGATTGCTTCTTTTTCACAATCCATCAAATTTAAAGATTTTTTACCAGAGGTTGCCTAACTGCTCCATATGAAAATCCCAATCCGTTCATCATCAACCTCATTCACATCTTCTATGACTCACTGCTTGATACTAACAAGTATTTGATACTCAAAATGAGAAGCTTATGCACATGCATATACATCTAGCAGCATAAACAAGCTAGAAGTAATCTAGTACCAGCGCGGATAGTCATTAAATGTCTCTTGTCGACAAAAATGTTGGGTATACTACTTCAAAAAAGTTGTCATTTTCCCGAATTATATTCACAAGTAGACCAATCATTTAGGATTAATGCAAGTTGCTCGGGAATGAATGTTCA